AACTGAGCGCAGCGGCAGTCGCTTCCGCAAGGACATCCGCAGAGAGCCGAGGGAGGAAGAGGAGCGCATCTTACGGAAACGATCAGGGACTTCTGGGGAACTCTCTGCTCCGTCAGATTCATCAAGGACTGTGTGTGCTCGCCAGACCCCAACTACAGCTTTTCCAAGCCCGTCCATGATCGGTGACTCTGAACTGGCTTGAGATCTAAATCAAAATAAGGAAAATATGGTGGAAAAACCTGAAGAAAAATTGTTTTCCTGATCAATATTTGAGTTCATGTGTTAACAGAAATGGTACAATCTTTAATTGACAAGAGTATCACAGTTTACATGAAAAATTGAACAGTAATTATTTCCTTTGATGCTAAATCTATATAAAACAATATATATAAAATCCCCAAACTGGAACGAAAATCTTAATCTTTGCAGTTTAGCCTCTGAATAAAGATGGCAAACATATAGGGTAATAATGGATTGGATTTTTTGATCAACCCATTAGATATTATAATATTTTTTAAATTTGTTTAGTTCAAATTAATGTCAAACATCCAATTCCAACAACCTCCAGTCAATAAGAGCATCAACCAACTGCAGGTGTAATGGTCAGTATTTAGGGAAAGACTGGTTTCTGCTAAAGATACACAGATACGATATCATTATCATCTCAATATTAAAGAAAAGTCTAGATATAATATTGGTAAAAATGGGCTAGATCTATGGGGGCAGATGCATTCAGTGTATTATGATGTTAATCTGGATCTATTCAAATATCAGAATCAAAAGTGAAAAAAATCTAAATCTGTGCATCAATTTCATTCTGCTGGCTAACTTGCACCTTACTGACAAACATGCCACACTATAAATAATTCCAAAGTGCAAGATTCAGCCTTCTAATAGACAATGGAATATAGAACTACACTTCATTCAGCCAGCTGACTGGGAGTGTGCAGCTAGAGGTGAGCAAGGAGCAGTGCTGTAGTACTTGAATGCAGCACCAACAAGCAAATAGCAAAAGCCAAATATATTTAAACAGTGTGCAAATACAACATAAATAGGCCAAGATTTCCAGTTGATTGTTTGAGTTGTATGAATAAATGGTTCAGGTATCTACAAGAAACTACATATATACATATATAAAGATGAAATATGAGCCGTAGCAAGCTTTAGATAATCATTTTAGGGGAAGCTTCGTTTCTTTTGTTGTTTCAATCAATGTGCGGTCAGACCAGTCTGCCCCTCCCTGCTTAACTCTCCAAACACCCCAGCGCAAAGAATAATGCAGTTAACGCTCTTCTTTGCTTATAAAAGTGACAACGGTTTAACTAAATAAAGATGTTTATCACGACAACGGGTTTGTTTCAAGGTCTTCATTTTTCAAAGACCTGAGCTTTTTCTCGTCCACCCCCCCCCCTCACTAAATCAACATTAACTCGACTTTCTCCAATAACACGGCCTTTTTGGAAACAGCCATTAAAACAAAAAGTATTTCGCTGTGTGTGTAAACACCTCACCTCAAACGGACGCTTGTGAGACACGTTCTTCTATCCTTACTAACAGCTGCTCTCCCTTTCTCCCCCTTTTTTTCCCAATTTGAAATTGGCGGTGGACCACAGCGTCCTGCCCACGTCACTACGTTCAGCACGCACACACACGTTGACGTAACACGCATAAATGGTTGACGTCTGCTTGATATTTTGTTATAAATATTTTTTACTTTTCATATTGATTAAAATAAATTCCACTTTATCTTTATAGTTACATACAAATATTACAAAAATAATAATATTATAAAAAAAAAAACCCAAAGCATATAACTTATCAATGAATAAAAAGAATGGAGATGTGAAAGAGCATTGCTTTTTTTGCTTCTTACAAATATTTTTGGTTTTCCTTTCTTTCACACTAAATGTCAAAAATGATTAAAATAAAAATCAAACAAAAACAATAAAATCAACATAAGTGTAAGATAAACCACCTGCCTTTAAGGTATGAATGACTTCATTGTCAAACCAAAATAATAACCGGTGGCTTAAATTCACCGACTGGAGGTTCATTAATAATAATAAAATGACCTGTGTTAGGAAAGGTAACGGTTAGATTAGTTCCATAAATGGCTTTTCATGTCAAAAGGGATGAAACAGAGCACATACTGTTAGTCTCAGTAAAAGCTGACCAGGGGCTGATCTAGATGGAGGGATGTAAGTGGCCAAGGCCACCCTCAACCAGTCATTGGACACTCCTGTGGCCACCCCTACCATATAATCCCATGTGGAATCGGTAACACTGTCAAGTGGAATGTTATAACTAATTTAAAATGTTAATCGCTTTGTATATCAATAGTGGACTGACAACAAAACTACAGGAGTTAATGATTCACATCAATAAAGTAACATTAAAGATGATAAGTACAGAATTCGTTATCTTTTCAGAACTACTTTTTGTGCTGTCAGCGGGGGTAGAAAGTTGTGTTTCTCTCTAAGTTATCAGGAATCTTACATTTCATTAGAGATAAATAACAAGTAAACTACTTAATGTAGGTTTTACACTGGTATAAATTCTCAATCATCCAGGTCATCCTGGGGCCTGTTTCAGAAAGGAGGTTAAGTGAAAACTCTGAGTTTGTTAACCCTGAAATGAGGGAAACTCTGGGTTTTCTGTTTCAGAAAGGGAGGTAAGTTAAACCTGAGAAAGCAGAGTAAGTCAAGCCCGTTTCTGAAAGAGAGGTAACTTAAACTCAGAGTCAGTTACCATGGGAATTTACTCTGTGAACCTAACCTGGTCGGGAGCAGGTTTTCTTCAGAAAATCCAGAGTTTATTTTGGTCTCCTCCCCTTTTTTAAAGAGGAAGTGGTGTTTAAACACCTCATTGATTCTTTGGGGACATACAGTATTCATTGCACACATTTCAGTCACGTAGAGCGCATCAAAGGGAATGAAATGGCATGTCCTTTTATGGATGATCCTGTTTGTAAAGCCAGGTAGCTACTCTACTCCCATGATGTGCTCAAGGCTTACCTGCTTGAAGTATGTTTTTATATTTCATTTTCAGCTGCTGCCATGTTCTTTTGATGCCTGCAGGATTACACCTATCCATGAAAACTAAATTAGGTTTAATAAAATACTGTTCTTCCAGTTTCACCTCTGATATTATAACAGTTGGGTAGGTTACTCTAAAATAGTTCTTAATTACTAACTACAAATTTTATCTTCAACAAGTCTAATTAGATTAATGTAATAATTACTGTCTCTAGAAAGTATTGGTCTACTTACTAATTTGTTTTACTTACTTATTAATTAATTACTTTCTAAATCCCAAATCAACCTCAACCACTTGAACAATACAAGGAGAGACAAGAAACTGCACTTCTAATGCTTTCAAATAAACAATATTCAATTGCATGAATTAATCTTAAATTGACAAAAGTGTGTAACTAGAGGGAGAAAGTTCAAATCAAAATATACCTTTTAAAAATTTGATATTGAATCCACTATTTTTTATAGTCTTTAATTTAATTACAGTATTTATATGACTTAAGTAACTTAATTCATTACACCCAACACTGTATAAAAGTAATTAAAATGTAAACATTGACTCTAGCAGCTATTTTCACCCAAGCTAACTCTCTCTCCTTCGCCGCTGCAGCCATGTTGCTTTTTTTTTTTTAAATACATGTTCAAATTCTGCATATGCTTGCATAAGCACTTCCAGTTCTGCTGGTGAGAAATATGCACACCTTTTTTTGTCTGACGCTGTTGCCATGGTGACTCGTAATATCTGTGCTCCATTGATAATGGCTTTTTATAGTTGTGGTGCATGTGCTTAACTCAGAGTCAGTCAATTTAGAGTTGATTGAACTAACTCATTTCAGCTGTTCTGAAACCCAAAACACAGAGTTTCCAATCTCAGGATAAGTCAACTCAGAGTTCAAGTTTTAACTCAGAGTTGGTTGAACTTCCTTATTGAAACAGGCCCCTGGTCAGCCAGGCCAACAATGCCCCTAACGACTCCCCACTTCCAGAGGCATAGATCAGTAGCAACAACATTCTCTGGAGTTTGGAGTGATGAGACAAAACCTTTCTTGGAGTTGAATGTTCCAGTGGTATAGATGTAATGTTTTATAAAAAGAAAATAACAAGAATAGTCAATGAATGTGGTGCAGATTGACGGATGCAGCAGATTTGCAAGATGAGAAAGAAATACACACGCTTCATTAATTGTTTTATCTGTGAATTACATTAAATCAGTAAACCTGAACTATCAAATAGAATGCTACCTACTTGCGGGTCATATCGTTTTTATTTAAAACAATTCTATGCAGAACATACATTTTTAAGAGAAACATAAATAATTTTTTTGTCACAATATCCATTAAGCTGAAACTTACATTTCCATAAAAATATGTTATACCAATATTTAATTTACCTTTCAGATTGATAAGGTATTTTTTACCTGAAAGAAGTTGAATTAAACAACCAACTAATATTTCTAATTGTGCTGCTTCCAGGAAATAAAAAAGTATACAGTCCTTAATCGCATGAAGTTTTTGAATCCATTTAATTAATAAAAGTGCAACTTTTTTCACAACTGCCATGTTGGTTTGTGTAAAAATACATAAGAGTTTATATTTCTTTTAAGTAATTTGTTGAATGTATTATGATGATTGTTTATGTGTTTTTGTGCTCACACCTGAATGTCAATCACTTTACCATGGCCAGGTATGAAGGGAAAGTTAACAGGAGGCACCAATTTTAAACTTTGTGTGAAATTCTTTCAAGGGTGAGTGATTAACAGTTATATGACAGAGGGCAAAAATCTGTTACCAAGGTCTTTGTACACATAATGCTAAATTTCTTTACTTGCGTGCTGTTGTTAAACATAAATCTTGGCACTGGCTGCAGCTCTTAAGACCTTCCCACAGGAGATTTCTTATTTAACTCGTTTTATTGGATCATAAAATAAAAAGATTGTTTGGTGTTTACAAAAAAGTCTCAACACAAATCAAATGTCCAAATTGTGTTTATTAGATCAACAAATAGATGACATCAGAGCCGTACCTTCAGCATTCCTTTGTTTTATGTAACCTTCTTGACAATTTTTTTCATGGGCAAGAACACAAAGATCCAGACCTTGAACCATGCAACTTCATAATGCTCGTCCTATTGTCACATTAAGAGTAAATGTATAACATGATTTTAACGAGTCAGGACTGTACTGTTGAGTCAGGAGCTAAAGGTCAGGAGGGATTTCGACACCAGAGATTAAAAATAATGGATTTACGAGACAGTGTTTTACATGACATCAGAATCCATTATTCTTGTTTAATTAAATCCTGAAGATGTTATCACATATTTTATTGCTAGAAAATAGTACCCTGAGCAATCAGAATGTTGGGCAAACAGGAACCTGATTGATTAAACATATATTTTATATAGTCATATATAAATAATTGAGCTATACATTTGCATTTATTTCAGTTTAATTATTTAAATATCTCAAATTCAAAGCATTTTATAATTAAAAGTTTGGCTAAGTGGTTAAAGTAAAACATTTTTAACTAATATCTGTAAAATATTTCTCTACCATGGAAAGAAAAAAGTTAATAGTTTATAGGATGACTAACTGTCTTGATTGTACTCAGGTTGAGAATTTTATATAAATACCTACATTAAAATTGTTTAATATTTACGAGAAAAAGCAAAAAAATTATATATTTTTTATAATCCACAGTTTGACTTAAAATGTTATTTTATTTTGAATTTCATTTATTCTTTCTGCTCTAATCAAACTGAAACTTTGCCTTCTGGATTAAAGTTAAATCCCCTTTTCTTCCACTGACTTTATATGTACATTATACTTAATCTAACATGAAATACTTTATTCTATAATAGTGAATTCTGTTCTCCTTTTTTTTTCTGGCAACAACCAATAGGTTTATTTGTTATCTGATAACATTTTACTTAATTTTATTTAATGTCTCATTGCACTGGCTCTGAAATCGCCCAATATAATACCTTAACTGTTAGCTTTTATATTCAGTCAAATTTTAAAGTATATTTTAACATTAGAATGGAGGAGAAAAACAACAGCAATTAAATAACACATATGGTATTGTCTAAAAATTGTAATAACACAACCTAACACTGACTCAAGAAAGTAATAGAATTATTTTAATTTAATATATTTTTTTTCTTATGCATATAGTTCTGGTAAAAGTCCAAATGCAAAATTATATGAAACTAAACCATATTAAAGGATAATCAATGCCTCTTGCACTATACAGTGAAACGATGCCTTCATGGTTGGTCTCACTCGCTTAAATATCTGAGGACCAGGTTCCTTTGAATTACTTTTTGAAGCACTGTTGAGAGAGAGAGACCCTTCAGAAATCTGTGCAGTAATAATCTGATCAGTAATATCTGAGTTTGTTCTAAGTGTCCCACCTTTACAATTTTCTTCCGCCGTGAAACTACAGCAAGAAGCATAGTGAAGAACACCACCACCAGACCTGCTATCGTCGGCATCAGTGGGAACTTCATGGTCTTATCTGCGCACAAAGAGGAAATAAATTAGACCAGCACAGACCCACGTGAGTGGGACATTATGTAGATTTCAAAGCAGAAAAGAATTGAATAAAGCTTCAGTAAACACCTGTGACAGTGACTTTGAAAGTCTTGCTTTTATCTGCATACATAGGAGATGTTGTCGTGCATTGGTACAAGCCCTCATGCTGGCTTCTATCCACTTTTTTGACATTTAGCTGGCTGGTAATGCCATCATTGGTGACGGTGAAACCTGCTGTTAGATCAACCATGCTTCCATTTAGTTTCCACGTCACTGCCGTGATGGCGGGGTTGGCCCTCATGTCACATTCCAGGAGCAGCACTGCCTCTTCTTCTACTGTAACGGCCTCTTCACCGGAGAGTTCTGGGTGATCTGACGAAAAAATGTAGAAAACTTAATGACGGTAAAAGTTTCAATTTAAAAGCTTAATATATCTTCCAGCTTATTGAAGCTTTCTTTAAGCTTTGAAATACTGCGGTAAGCGGTCATATTGGAAGTAATGAGAAGTAACTAAGACTTCATGATTCTTAGGTTTTAAAGTTCATTCAGATGCTACATTCTCAGATTATATTTCTTTACTACCAAAAAAAAAAGCAATACAAACAATCCAAACAAAACATACAAAATTCCAATGTATTTCTCTTTATAAAAAAACCCAGCATTTCTGCTATTATGTTTTTTTTTTTTTTTTTACATTGTTTGCATTAGCCTTACAACCAAATAAAAATTATAAATAAATAAGAATAAAAAAGAAAATTTGTACAAAAGCCAAAATCTTATTTTAGAGTTAACGTTAAAACTAATTATGCATGACCTCAATAGCTTAAACTGGATTTCTGTACATTTACAATATAAGATATTAATTTGTCTCTTTGTGTACAGAAAGACAAATCACTCTGTGTGTCTGAACATTAATTTATTAACTTATAATATTGTGTAAAGAAAAAAAAAAAAAAAAAGTTTTACCTTCATTAATGCATCATCAAACTCTAATTCCTAACCATGCCTTTTAAAACAGCATATTAAACTAATAGTGGGAAAACATCAGCCTTCTTGTTTTCATGTAATCTCTTATTCTTTAAGAGCATTCCTAAAGCAGTGTCAGTGTGGCCTGAGGCACACAAGGATGTTGAATTTGTCACAGGAGACGTGTGTTTTCCGAGAAGAGTGGCTTCTTGCATTTGGTGGTCACTACTTTAACATCAAAAAGCACCATGTGGTCCATTATGTCATTTTGCACGTTTTGCAAGTTTGTGTTAGACGTGCTGGTTCTTCTGCACTTTGCTGCCACTGCTTTACTAACCTTCGACAGATTGGCCCACCTACATTTTAAAATAAGGGTGATCCATGGGATCTTTTTTTCTGAAGAGTTCCCGTCCATAAAATAACACTTATTTATTTTTTTATTCTGGTAAATGCAACCTCCTCCTAATCATATGTCAATACACTGTTTACTGTCTCCTCTATTTCAAGCCCAGAAGCCACTTTAAGCTCTTCTGTTAAGTGTGAAACCTCTCCATTGTCTTCTTCCATATTTACTAACATAAAATCCCATTATGTATTTATATATAGTCTCAATCTTGTACACATAAACTCACAACAATTTAGAGCTTTAAAAAGGGCACCAAACAAGTTCAAATCTTGTATTTTTGAAATAAAAACGATATTTTCTTCGCAATTTACCATCTATCTCATCCTTTCTTTCATCTGCTGTTTTTTGGACTTCTATTTCTCAAAATCAGATAACGCTTTACGAACAAGCATTAAGACTTTATAATCTAAAATGAAAGACAGGATCCTGATAAGAGTCTGATAAGAATTTTCCATAATCTCTCCACTTTTTTTTTTTCCATTTCCTTACCGATTTGTTATGTAGTTGTTGTCTTTTTAGTTTGTTAATTATTTCTTTGGTCAATGTTTTTCTCTTCTGCATTAAGATTTCTTTTAAGATTATTCCCAGTGTTTCTCTGTACAGGTTCCATGTTTATTATTCTCGCTCTCCTTCAGCCTCCTGTCTTGATTCTCTTCAGCTGTTTCTCATTGATTAGTTACTTTCACCTGCTCCTCATGCTTCTTCTCCTCATACTCTCCATATATGGATGACAGGTTATCTCCTGTCATTATTGGTTCCTTCCATTGACCTCATGCTTTTTGTTGCTCCAGGTTCTCTGTGTTTCCATTACTACCAGTCACACCTCCTTGTGCAAGGCTTTTTTACTATTGTTCTGTTATGGAAAACAATCAACTGAATTTCTGTTCCTCTCTGCACTTGAGTCCTTTATATGAAACGTGGTAAAAAATGTCATAAAAAATGTAAATAATTTAATTATGAAAAACCCCCAAAAACAAATCAACTTTAAAAGGAGTGTAAAAAAAAAAAAACTTCCCACACATACCTAATAAGTATTAGTTAATATATATCTACATCTGAGGTCCATAGGTATCAACATTCTACATGAAAACAATCCTTTTAAAAACAGGTAAAACACTTGAAAAAGGGTTAGGTTTGTAAAATCTAAAATGATACTTACTGGGCTTCTTTAAACATGTATATATTTTGACATAAAATAAATACTTAATTGCTCTCTTCTTTAATTTTAGAGCCCTTCTAGACTAGTCTGAATCCTGAAGTTCACTCATAGCAAGCTTATGAGTTAATACAGAAATGTCATAACAGGTAGAAACCAAAGATGAAAACTCTATCTTGTGAAAGAGCAGCAATTAAATCTTTGTTTTTAGAAAAGTGTTTTTGTGATTTTACCTTGACAAAAAGAACTAGTTCTGGTTACTGTAGGAGGCACAAAAGTTGCATACAAAACTTTTCTAATGCAGTAATTTCCCAACTATTTTTCAACAAGTTTTTCTAATATCCTAGTTTTTAAAATGCAACAAACTGCGATTATAGGTGTGGCCATTCCACCGAGTTCTCCCTAAAAGCAGACCACAAGATGGTACAAATAAGCTGATGCAGCAGCATTTAAGTGTTGCTGCTAAAACTACCTGCCTCTACAATCTCTACATTAACATTCATCAGAGATGTAGCTCTTTAAGGAAAACATGATGGGTAGGCTCTAGTTTTCCAGAGAGAACTTAGATAAAGACAAGATGTTCTGAAATGATGCACCTGGACAGATGAGACCACATGGAATTATGTTGATATTATAAAAATTTTTTTGAAATAATTATATCATGAATCAGATGTTCCTTTTAAATTATATGTAAAAAGATTAAAGCTAAAGCAGAATTAAACTCTGCTTTGGCTTGTCAGAATAAAATAAAATAAAATAGTATGAAATTATGCTAAATATATTAAACAAAATATATATATAGTAACAGTGACCCAAAACAGACACCCTCTGGAATAAAGGTACCATAGTGGGACATCAGAGGATCCCACCGGGGACTCAGTGGACTGTTTTATTATTGTTCTCCTAGATTTAACTGCTGCCTGTGACACAGTTTACGTTAACATTTTCATTTCTTGTTTGGAGCAGCGTCTGGGTGACAGCATTGCAGTTGTTCCAGTTAGTAAAGAGAACTTTCCCTTTCAGCCTTGGTGCTGTTATGTTCTTTGCTGCTGTTCTTTAGTGTGGAATCCTACAGGGATCAGATTTAGGCCCCTCACTCTTCTTCCCCTTAGTTCTATTTTTAAGAGACATGGTGTTTATGTGGATGGCTCCCAGATCAATCTCCCTCTTAAACAAGCCAAGGGCTCTCATCAGACACACATTTGAATGCTTTATTGATATAGATTCCTGGACGGGTTAAACATAAAATGTTTGAACAATCAGAATACAGAGGTAATGCTTTTCAATGGTAAATCTGATATCTCAAACATAGAGTTGGTTCCCTGACATAATAATATGTTTGGCTGATTGTCACAAATCTGGGATTTAGCTGCAGATCTTAAACTTCAAATCCAGATCCAGGATGTTTTAAAGTCACTCTATTTTCATCTGAGACAGCTAGCTTAAGTAAAGCCATTCATATCAGGGCAGCTATTTGAAACTGTGATTAATGGACTTGTGACATCGAGGCTGGATTACTTTAACTCTATTTTGGAGTTAGTGATGCATCCATCAGGCACCTGCAGGCTGTGCAAAAGGCAGCAGCATTACTTTTAATTATAATAAAAAGGTCTTTACATATCAACAATATTATTAATTCTCTTTATCAGTTGTATGTATGCTTTAGGATCTGTTTAAAGATCTGTTATTTACATTTAAACCACCTTCCACCATTCTAATCTGCACTGTCATGATTTTGGTGCTGATGGCTGGCTTGATTGCTTATTTCATTGACCTCTCTAACTCTGCCCTGTCCCTCATCATTCATCAGATACCCCCTGTTCCACTTTTGTATTTAAGTTGCCTGTTTCCAAGCTATCAGTGCCAGATTATTCCTGAGCCTTTGGTGTTGAGAGTTCTCTAGCGTTACTTTAGCGTTCTGATTGTCTGATTCTGATCCGTTTCTGGATTTGGACATTTGAGCCTGCCTGCCCCCTTCGGATCGGTTTACCTGCCTGTCTTCGGACTCCTGTTGGATTCTTCTGTTGACTGAACCTGGATCTGCCTCTTCACTTTGCCCTACGGATTATCCTGTCTTCCTTTATAAGCTCGGATCTGATCTCCTGTCAGCTCTGCAGCCTTCTTGGTTACCATGTCTGGAACTCCCTGGAAACGTCTGCTGCGTCTTTTCAGTTGACCGGCTGGAGTCATCCGCATTCTCTGAACTGTCTAACGAGGTTATTCATAATCATATTCTGTCAGATTATGGTAGTCACTAACCTGTGTTTCTCTCCAATAGACATTCCTGCTTTAAATACTCTAGCTGCTTATAGAACTCCAATATACCAGCAGCTCCTTATTGTTGATCATGCCTTTGCTATTTAACTAACAGCCTTAAATGAATCAAAGAGACTACCTGAAATTATTTTAATTATTCAAACACATCAACTAACAGACTTTAATTTAATGAGTTATTGTAGTTGAATTAAAGTCAGATAAAGATGATAGATACACTCTTTGATAGTTTATTTTGTCATGTTTCTAATTTTTTTGGTCAGATCATAAAACCAATACTTAACTCATTACGTTTTTATCGTTTGTTCTAGTATAGCTCTTAGAAAAAACAATCTATCAAAGAAAAGTCTAAAAGTGGATTTGGTGGGTTAAACTTAAATGAAATTTATATATGTATTGACCAAATTAAAGGTTTTTCTTCTAAAGGCATGATGGATATAAAGTAAGTTTCTTATTAATTAAAGGTCAAAAAAAGTTAGATAACTAAATATAAATACATTTGTGTGAAAAAAACCCCAACAATGCTAAAAATTAAAAATACTCAAGACATTAAGCTCCAAATGTCAGTAGCACAAAGGCAGAGTTGAAAGATTGCCATTGTCAATATAATATCTTGTCTTACCACAGAATGAACCCACACATTTAAATCATCTCAACCTATAAATGTCTCTCAGTGGTTATTTTAAAGCAATCCTTATCATTAGTATCACTAAACATCCTTTATAAAGACTCACATGTGACGTTGAGGGTAACAGTAACCTCATTGGAGGCATTGCTCTTGAGGTGACAGGTGAAAGTAGCCTCATCGTCTTCATAGATGGGTTTGATGCACACATGACTGACGCTTTCCTTGTTTCCATCATTCAGATTCACTGTAGCTCCATTCCTCAGCCACACCAACTCTTTATCTTCGTGAGGGCCATCTTTGAGTGCACATGTCAGGCTCACTGTCCCATTAATGTCCGTCTGAATTACATAGTCAACATGTGGTGGAATGGATGTAATGTTGACATCTTGGAAAGCAAAAAAAGGTTAAAGTTGAAGCATCTGATTTGAGAGGATTAAAAGCTGAAAACAAACTCAAACTCTGCGGGAAGAGCAAAGAAATAAGCAGCACAAAGATTTGATCTGAATTGAATTGAATCAGTAGAGCTTACCTGATGCTTGGCTGGTAGAGCAGGACAGCAGAAGGAGAAGAACCACACTGAACATCAGCTTCATTTTGTCTTCTCAGATAAACCGGACAAAGGAAGAATAATAATTATAACGATGATAATAATAAACTAATTCTTTATTATACATAGGCTTTGGCCCTTTGATAAGACCTGTTGGGAGGAGGGTGAGAATTTCCGGTGTTTGGTGATGATTTTTTTTTAAAGGTTGGTCAATCCATTTGCCAAACCAAATTTATTTATTATATATTTATTTGATTTATTCAAATATATATATATATATATATATATAATATGTCTGTATAAACTAGGGATATAATCAGCAACCTTGAAAAGACGGAACATTTTCATCTCTGATTTTAACAAAACCAACCTAAATAGACATAACATAATTAGTTTAATTAAGCACTTTTTTATTATTATCTTTTTAATCTTCTGATTGGGAAGCTATTTAAACGTCTTTAGTAATTCAATTCAGTTTATTCATAAAACTGAAATTCTTTTGTGTGAAAGTATTAAGTTTCACTGAAGATAGTAAAAAGCAGTGATCTAGGAAATTCCTTTTTCACATCTTAGATCGACTCTAGCTCCAAGATAAAAATGAAAGATAATCAATTAAATAAATGTATGGGTTTGGATCCTGGACCAATGGAAAAAATTGATTACCCTTTTTCTTTTTTGTTAATAATATAATAAAGTTTAAACCCGGGGCATCTAAAATTGGCTAAATGTGCACAAAAAGACTTTAATAGTAAAAATAATACCTATATCTTCATAGTCTTTTTTTTTTTTATATGAAGGTTTCTTCACTCATTCTTTTAAAGCATATTGGGGGAATAAACAAAGACAAGAACTGCTATTAGAAAAAAAAGATAGAGTTAATTAAAAAAATATTCAGTTTAAGTGATTTATTTAATATTTTTCCTGCTGTTAATAGAAAAATATAAAGTACCAAAAAAATCGAGCTGTGTAATATGCTAGATCCTTTGTTTAATTGCACCTTATTTAAATGCAATTTGTAATCACATTAGAACTTTCTGGACTAAATAATGTAAAAAAACAACAAAATAAAGCAAAGAGGACTTAAATACATCTGCAATCCTTTTGTTGTGAAAGATTTTTGTAAAAATAAACGTACTTACCTTGAAGTTCCTGTTACTTATTCTATCTTGTCGGAGCCTTTCCTGCTTATGTCAGAGTGTGAACATGAGAATATGAAAGGCGTTCTAAATCTACAGCAGCTCTTAAATACCATTTACAACACTTTATAACCCCTGTGGGCAAAAATGTATTTTCTTCCTTTCAGGTTTATTTACCCATTCCTGTCAACACCCTGTCAGTCCTTCCACCCTTGATTTTATTTCATTTCTCTTTTTATTGTCACGTTCTCATAATGTGCATACACAGGGAATCTTTTTATTGGCAATAGTCATTACAGTCGCACTAAAACCTTGGGTGTGGATAGAGCGCTGAAACTTTAAATTTTACAAGAGTCTTTTTATATCTGTTTTTAGTGCTTTAACCTTTCCTCATGGATTCCCTGTAAATAGTTTCGGAAAAAAAACACAATAACTAAATTTAGTCTTTCTCTTAATTTTGATAGAAATAAAATTACACTACAGAAACTCTGAGGGAAGTGTTTTAAAGCTCTTGAATAACAGCAAAACGTTTTAGGATTGATAATTGGATATTTGTTTGTTGACTTATTTAATGTTTTTTTTATTTTTTTTTATTAAGCTTTAATTATTAGCTGTAAGCAAATACTGGTGGTTCTATGAGAGGTTGCAAACAGCCTTATTCAACACCTAGACACTTAAATTGGTTTGTGTGTTAGGCTATTGTGAAACTAAGTTGGCAAACTCTACCAAGTCCCACCATAGCTGATAAGGCTTAGAAGGTCTCAGTAAATCATTTGAGGTATCTACCAGTTTAGCATACCTTGATACTTTTTAATCAGAATAACTTCCTATTCTTAAACTGAAAGAACATTTTTAAACATTCTGTGTGGCAAAAAAAAGAATAAATGGTTGGTCAAACTGGATAGAGCGCAACTTTTAACACCAATTTCAAAGTCTTTTTCACATTATTAATTAGTTTTAGGTCTAGTCTATGTACCAGGGCATTTTAGCATATGGATATTTATTGTCTATAAAACTAGGGTAGTTGTCCTGCTGAAATATGAGCCTGTGACACAGTCTTATAGGGTTTATGATTGTCTTAAATTCATAACCAGCTTTCTCATCCCTGCAGAGCAAAATAGTTCCTGTATCATGAAATTGCCAACACCATATTTCACACAGTGAATAATCTTAATTACCTACGTTACATGATTTAAGAAATGTTGACTTATCTCTAGATAATTTTTGCATTGTAGCATGTTTTCTGTGTCCCATACAGTGCCAGTGTTGGACTGCAAGTTGCACTAGAAATTAATACTTTGGTAAAGCAGCCTATGTGATACTATTGGCATAATACAGTCATGTCGTAAATCCGCTGGTAGCACTCAGTATTTAATGTAGTCAAGTTGAGTCTTTGTTAAAGTTTTACATTTTAGAATATTTTTGTGGTGGTGTGTGGGGATTTTTTAGTAACATAATCAAACTAGCATCAACAGAGCAGCATTTCATTATAAAAGAATACACAGATGTGAGGTCCTTATTCAAGTCTGTAAGAATATATTTTATTTTAACAGGATTAATTCCTCTGAGATTTTCTGTATCTCTGTATCAATGTATATATATATATATATATCTACTTCCCTACATGTGTTAAGCAATCAATCAGGAGTATCTAAAAGTCTTATCTACAATTTTTGTTCCTTTTCACATGAAAACGACTACTTTAATATAGCTAACAAAATACATGCCAATTTTCAAATTACAATTATAATTACATCCATCAAAATAGATAAATATTTTATTCTTACATAGGAACACGTAAAAAAAAAGAACAACAACTGTACATAATTAAGATTTATATATATATATATATATATATATATTTATTTTATTCTAACGAATACAACTGAAATCTCAATTACCATACAAATTGTAGTTGACAATAAAGTTGAATTTGAAATACACTTTCACCTACTGTGAAAATTTTGTGAAACAAAACAAAATATTAAGTGTATTTGCAAGCTAATTTACATCAACTTTACTTTGTCAACATTTGAAAGTTGTGTCATACTATTGATTACTATAACTGATTAAACTTTTGAGATAACTTTCTCTCCAATTTTTCCTTCCAAACCTCTTCTTCATTCTTATAGGAGGGAGAGCTTGCACTTTGTTCTCTTTTATCTATGAACTGCAGTTTGTTATGAAAATGATCAGTCAGCTGGGAGTGAAATTAATGTAAACTGCAAAGGTGCACAGCCAAGTGAACATACCTGTTTCTCTTGTATTTTGAATGGATTGTTGCAAAGAAAAAGTGCCTGAGCGGAGCAGGGGGGCGACCCAACAACACCTTTACAGCAGCGTCCGTCCATCAGATTGCTGGCTAATGATTATATGTGGGAAGCCTGAGCCTGAAGTGAAAATCCTGCCAAGTGTTTAAGCTTCATAAAACAACTAAGTCACTAAGTTTCCTTAAGTCAAGCTTTGCATTAACAAAATAGAAAGATGAAATTGGATGGAAACATTAGAAATTATTAAGGCTATTTTCTAGTTTTCTTCATCCACTTTTTTCTACTGACTCCGGGTTGGTAGACATTATTAAAAACTATGTTTTTTCTACATAATTCATTTCAAAATACAACCTTTTTAAAATTTGTGACATAAAAGATATGCAGGAGGGAAACCAAACATGAGCAATTAGCTTTATTGGACTGTTATGTGTTATTTTGAGTTGTATATAATCGTAAAACACTGCAATCTCTCTTCATTATCGCTCCTGCATAACATAGGGCTAAAATGTTGTTTTATGAGGGCTGTTTTAAAACTTTCCTGCAGTCTTTCTGGCTCACCCACTAGGGAGAGGCATCAGCCAGCTTTCAAGAGGTTCTTCCAATAACTCAAAAAAGAAGAATTACATATATATTGGTTTCTTGAATAAGAAACAACTAACTTAAACAAAACTTCACCAGCTGAATTTTTCTGCATTTTATTTAAAATAAGATGTTTTAATGGCCTCCCAGCTTTAATATTTTTATCTATTTATTCAAATAATTTTCATAAAAAAGCCCCAAAGCACCTGAGAATGTAATCTATAGCCACTTCATATATTTTTTTGTGTGGTTTCCGTGTTTACTTAAGACATTCTAAACTCTACATTTCTCCTTTCAGGAAGTCATTATGTGTCCATCAAAGGTCAAAGATCACCTGCAATTTCAACACATACAGGCATGAATGCTCTCTCTATTATGTTGCGCAACTGGCCTGCTTGTAAACTGTGCAGGTACTGACATGCAAATACCAACCTCCCCCCCCCCCCCCTCAGTAAATGTATATCAGTTACTGCATTCATGTCTTATCCTGAAATTTAATCTAACAATAAACATTAGCAACTAACCCTAACCTAGAGTTAATTAACACCATACGTCTAAACTGACTCTCTAACATTCAACATGGGTAACAGCCTTTTGTTCCCACATGACCTGTTGGTCCTCAGAGGGTTTGTAAGTACACCAAGAACGGTCCTAAATACTTAACATAAACATTCACCTCATTTCTCTATCCCTTTGTTAAAAGTAAGGACTGATTTCAAGTCCTGTATAACACTTTCTATGCCCTAACCCTGACAATAACCCAAAACCTATCATGAACCAGTGCATATCTAACTCTAACTCTAATGAACAATTTAGTCTGAAACCGGACTGTTGGTAAAATAAGAAGTGAGAACCAGCAAGATATCCTCACTTTGGTATAGGCGGTACACAATTTGATGGTGAAATTGAAAAAAATGGTCCTCACTCTGATGCCAAGAGAGGAGCTCAAACACACACAGGTTGAAAAATCACACTATCTTTGAGGGGACTTTCCACTGACTTCTATTCATATTGCATTCATTTCTATGGTCTAACCCAGACCCTCGCCATAACCCTAACCATTACCTCTACATACCAAACCGTAAACTTAACTTCACTCCAAAAAGAGAACCTCTCCTCATGACGACCGGTCATTGGTCCTCACAAGTCCCCAAAATGTAGCATATTTCCGAGAAATTTTCCCTACCAGGTCAAAAATACATGGCCACCCATAAACACTCACGTAAACTCAAACATTTTAATCTTGCTATATGTAGTGAGGACCGTGTATTGAATCCTAATGACTTCAGCTGATTTTCAACCCTTTTTAACCCCTCCTATGCTATAACCCTGATAATTACACCAAACATTAGGATTACCTGCTTAAACCTAAAACTAACCTAAAATCAATTCACACCTCAGTCCTTCACCTCATTGTTAGCAAAATAGGAGGTTAGGAGCAGCAAAATGTCCCTCCTTTGATACAAACAGCTCTCAATTTAATGGCCAAATTGTAAAAAGATTTCCTCGCCCTGATGCCAAGACTGGAGCGGAATATACACACATATACACACTCCTATAGACTTTTGTTTGTGCAATTTGTTATCTGTGTTCTGCTACATGTTTCCAAACTCGCAACTGCCTAAATCAGCTTTCCGTGATTGAATCAACTTGTTTACCTATTCCCTGAGCGTCTTGTAAAGTTACCTTTAAATGTTTCTATGAAGCTGCAGAGCTGAGGCAGCAAACACTGATAAGAGAAGGTTTGTGCGTGCGTATGTGTTCATTTCTTTGAGTTGAAATTACAGAGGAGGGAGGACATAGACATCCTGGTGATGGCCAAAGTACGCTCAGAGTATGATAAGACCAGTGCCTAATGCGTGTGTAAAAAAAAAAAAAAAGTGTAACTACCCACATAAGCATGGTTTAGTTGTCGGCTGTTAGAGCTCCTTGCAAACGAGCAATAAACTGGCATTCCTCATCAGATTATTACAGAGAGCTTGAAGACCAGTCACACAAAGACCCACACACCAAAGCTGTTGCTCTGGCTCTGTGTATCCATATCAAACCTTCACCCACTGTTCGTTGTCCCCCAGCAATAACCTACCTTCGATGGCCCTGATTTGACCTCTCTGTCAGTGGTGTAAACCCGGGGGGATGGCACAGAGTTCATATGGCTCTTTTTGTCAGTAATTTTTGTTTGCCTGTCAGGAAAATAGACAAATATGTAATCAACCCTAATGACTTTGGTTAACCCAGAAACTTTTAAACCTGTTGCTTTTGACTCACTCATTTTTTTATATTACTCCTTCGACAAGAACCATTTAGTCAATAACTTGGAAAAAAGTGCCTGCGCTATGTTTCTCAGCACACATAGACCAACACTCCTGCCCCCTCCTTTCCATTGCCCTCTATCCCTCCCTCTGTTGCTCTGTAACTTTTCTTCCCTCTCCTGTCTTCTTTCCCTTTGCTTGAATGGAGAGGCCGGGCTCTCTGGAACCTGCACCCCCTTTGCCTGGTGCAGAGCCTGTTGCTCTGGTTCATGATGCCAAGATGGAGGTACCTCCTGTGGATAAGGGGGCAGAATTTGCCAGCTCCAAACTGTTTTGGTGTGCATGTGTAAAGCGCTGGCTGCCACTGGCTTACAGAGAAGAACTTTACCATGTCTTACGGCTCACAGGACCCCTGGTGAGTAGTGCAAAGCTGAAGAGTTGGTTATGGGGTAAATCTTAAATTTGCAAAATGTTTCTCTTTAAGTTATTTTTCCGTCTCTTTTTGCTTTGTTGCAGATTTATTCTTTAATGTGCTGCCCATAGCCCAGTTTAATAGCACAATCATTTCTGAAATATTCTGCCTCTGCAGTAATAATAAAAAAAGACCCAAGCTTGAAACAATGTAGTTGCTAATTTTTAGCTCTGCTTTTTTACCTCTTTCTCTTATTGCTCAAATGAGTTTAATTGAAATAACTAATTTAGTATAACCATGTTTCTACAGCTACTGTCCCGGATTCTGAACTTTCTCCTGCCGTTTGTTATCACCATTTTCTGTGGCCACATTGGAAATGCAGAACTGGCTGGATATGCCCTCGCCTCAGCGGTATGAAATTGTTCTTTTGATGAATAACAATGCCATAAAGTTTGTGTGAACACGAGTCTGCTTTAGGAGATTAGAAACTATGAAAGGGGTTTGAATCATTAGGATATGTTTAATTTCCCAAACACAGGGTGCATTTCTGGTAATAGATATAATCTGCTCATTTTTACATGTCACCAAATGCATCTTTGAAAATGGTGCATTCAAGCAACAGTGTTCTTTGCTTTGTCTTCGACCTGTTCTCTAGAAAAAAAAGATTTTTAAGTTTTAATGTATGACATAAAGGGACTACACGTGCAAGCATTGATGTTTTCCTGACCCGTGGGGGTTATTGTGTAAATGCAACCCCTTGCTAGCTCCTCCTACTACTACTATAAGAGTAAAGTCTTTATAGTTTGGATGTTATTTTCTTTTTGTGTTATTACCAAAACACTAAAGTTTAATAAATAGTCAGCTTCATATTCTTTTTGGGTTTGGTGATAGAAAACATCGAGATTGCCCAACAACCCAGAAAGCATGTGACACAAGAAGACATAATGTAAAGAAGCAAACCATCCATCCATCCATCCATTTTCCTACACGCTTGTCCCGAGTGGGGTCACAAGGGGTGCTGGTAAAGAAGCAAACCTACAGATGCAAAGTTACTTGGATGAATACTACCTACTTGAGCATTGAAGCAAAGTCAGACCATAGACACATTTGTCCTAAGGGTTCCCTATCAGAACATAAAGCATCCTGCAACAAAGCTGAAATGCTTCACTAATGGTGTACAGTGTGAGCAGGTAGATCGCATCAGAGCGTTGGACTGCTCAGTGTGAGAACATACATCATGGGCTGTGAACTCACACTGTACGACGAAACCGCAGGGTTTCGTCGTACAGTGTGAGCTGTAGCTGTGTGCAACAATTGAAAAAATCGCACAGTGTACGCCTGGTTTAATAGTCTGCAGAGATTCTCAATCCAGTGGATCATAAATGCCCAAGAAAGAATTCTGATCTGCCACAGCCCGTTTTCATAATTTGCTGGACTGAAAGGGTCAGCTGCTAACACTTTGGTGATGGATACCACTATGCAGCTCCGGGGGGCCATTGGGGTTAAGGCTGATGTGGACACAAAAAAAAAAAAAAAAAAAAAAGACCACACCACTGGTGAAGAAGTGAGAGGTTGTGAAGAAGTTCTGCCTGGCTGTAAACGGTTGGAGCCGGCAGAATTGTTTTACACAGGCTAGCATGCTCTATGTTTACGGAAATGAACATGGATGGTAGTGGCGGCGAGGATCTAGCGGTCTTTTCCAACCATAAAAACACAATCTTTTCAATATGGTTAAACATAAATACTGCTTTCCACATCATCATCTGCCATTGTTGTTGTTTTTCTTGCCGCAAGACACAGATTAGTGACTTATGTCGGGTAATAATGACGTCCAGGTCGGATGAATCCGACCTGGCATTTCATACACAGGTCACATTTGAGAAGATCTGATTCGTATCAGATTCAGGACCACATAGCCAAGTGGCCTGGGTCGGATTCGAAAAAATCGGATCTTTGTTGTTCAGACAGCCATGAAAAGATCAGATCCAGGTTGCATATGGGCAAAATAATCAGATTTGGGTCACTTCAGGCTGGCTGCAGTGTATGAATACATACGAATCTGATCTTTTCAAATGCGACCTGTGTGTGAACAGCCAGGTCGGATTCAACCGACCTGAACGTCATTAATACTATTCACTAATCTACGTCTTGCTATGCAGAAGCTCAATTTCTAGAGGTAGTCACCTGAAATGGTCTTCCAACAGTCTTGAAGGATTTCCCAAAAATGCTTAGCACTTGTTGGCCCTTTTGCCTTCACTCTGAGGCTCAACTCACCCCAAACCATCTCGTTTTGGTTCAGGTCTGGTGATTGTGGAGGCCAGGTCATCTGGCGCAGCACCCTATCACTCTCCTTGGTCAATAGCCCTTACACAGCCTGGAGGTGTGTTTGGGGTCATTGTCCTGTTGAAAAATAAATGATGGTCCAACTAAACGCAAACCAGATGGAATTGCATGCTGCTGCAAGATGCTGGTTTATTATGCCTTCAATTTTGAATACATCCCCAACAGTGCCACCAGCAAAGCACCCCCACATCATCACACCTCCTCCTCCATGCTTCACGGTGGGAACCATGCATGTAGAGTCCATGGTTGACACGATGGTTGGAACCAAAGATCTCAAATTTGATCTCATCAGACTAAAAGCACAGATTTCCACTGGTCTAAAGTCCATTCATTGTGTTCTTTAGCCCAAGAAATACTCTTCTGCTTGTTGCCCGTCCTTAGCAGTTGTTTCCTAGCAGCAATTTTACCATGAAGGTCTGATTCACACAGTCTCCTCTTAACAGTTGTTCTAGAGATGTGTCTGCTACTAGAACTCTGTGTGGCATTGACCTGGTCTCTAATCTGAGCTGCTGTTAACCTGCTATTTCTGAGGCTGGTGACTCGGATGAACTTACCTCCGCAGCAGAGGTGACTCTTAGTCTTCCTTTCCTGAGGCGGTCCTCATGGGAGCCAGTTTCTTTGTGGTGCTTAATGGTTTTTGAGACTGCATTTGGGTACACTTTTTTTCCCCAAGTTTTGCCAATTTTTTAGACTGACTGACCTTAATTTCGTAAAGTAACAATGGCCACTCATTTTTCTTTACTTAGGTGCATTTTTCTTGCCATAATACAAATTCTAACCGTCTATTCAGTAGGACTATCAGCTGTGTATCCACCTGACCTTTGCACAACACAACGTACGGTCCCAACCCCATCTATAAGGCAAGAAATCCTACTTATTAAACCTGACAGGGGCCAGCTGTGAAGTGAAAACCATTTCAGGTGTTTACCTCTTGAAGCTCATCAAGAGAATGCCAAGAGTGTGCAAAGCAGTAATCAAAGCAAAAGGTGGCTACTTCAAATAACATGGAATATAGGACATATTTTCAGTTGTGTCACTCTTTTTTTGTTTAAGTATATAATTCCACATGTGTTAATTCATAGTTTTGATGCCTTCAGTGTGAATCTTATAGCCATGAAAATAAAGAAATCTCTTTGAACGAGAAGGTGTGTCCAAACTTTTGGTCTGTACTGTAGCTAACCTTTTGTAGCATATAATTTAAGCTGAAAAAGTCATTCAGTAGTGCCAGAGTGATTACTTTTTTGTTTAGTTATTTCATAAAGATCTAATCAGCTCTTGTCCTGTGTCTTAACCTGTAGAGGATGACAGGATAGAAAAACTGAAGTTTATTTTTGGAGCAATTTGGCCACATTGAGTATTTGATATTAAACAGAAACAGATTTTATAAACTTGATAACAAATCTACTTCTTTTAGAATAATAACAGCAAAATCAAATAATTGCAGACAAGTGGGATTTTATGTGAAACACTTCATAATTTAATTCTAAGTCACTTCTTTTTTCTCTTATGATCAGACTATCAGTGTGACCACAACTGCTACAGGCTATGGCCTTACGATGGCTTGCGACACCCTCATCTCTCAGGTGAGCAAAGCTCTCTATCTGCAGTGACTGTGTGTCTAAAAAGAATCTCAAGATGTCTCTTATTTGCTTTTTGCAGACTTACGGCAGCGGGAACATGAAGCGTGTGGGAGCTATCCTTCAGAAAAGTATCCTAATTCTGCTTTTGTTTTGTTTGCCTTGTTGGGCTCTCCTTGTCAACTCCCACAACTTACTGCTCCTTCTCCACCAAGAGCAAGAAGTGGCCAGGTAAATCCTACAGTTCTAATGCAGTCTTAAAATAAGAAGAGTATATATATATATATATATATATATATATATGAAACAGTATTGAAAATACACAATCATAATGTAATAGAAAACGCTATAAGACTTATTGTGAAATTTAAGATCATGCTTTATTCTTTAGCTTTCTATGTTCCTTTACATGTGTATCAAAAATAAAAAGACCCCAAGTACAGATTTCCATCTTCTTAAGACAATGGCTGTTTTTCCCACACTTGTAATATCAATAAATACAAAAAAGCATAGATTAGAAGTAGACTTAGACTCAACTTTATTTATCCTTTGGGATTACTTTTTCAGGGAAATTCTGGTTCCAGTAGCTTATATGGAGTATAAATAGCAGAGTAAAGCAAGATGTCATTAGAGATAAAAATACAACAGACAATATAAAAAGAGTGTATATAATACAAAAAAGCATTACAAAGTTGTAATGTCCTGGAATATGTTTCCTTTAGATATAGAAATATCTGCACAGTAGAGAGCTAAGGGAAGACTACACAGTAGTTGACTTGGATTATTGCACTTGCACTGCAGAAATGTACTGACCATATAAATAACAAAGACATTTAAAGACTACACAGTATTTGACTTGACAGTAGTTGGCTGAGATTAGAAAACATGGTTGACACTAAAGGATCAGGGAATGGAAATTTTACATGTATTTTACATGCTTATGAAATCTTGTGAAAATATTTGTTTCCTTTTCAATTTCAGAATTGCTCATCTGTATATCATGATTTTTCTTCCTGCTGTTCCAGTGAGTACAAAAAAAACTAAACTCATCCACTCCAATTTTACTAGAAGGGGCAACTTTGGAAGACCTTGTATTTGCAATGGATAGCAATGTCAGAATATGTTAGCTATTACCACATTTGTTAAACTCTGAACTTTGATGTGTTTTCATAAATATAACCAGAGCAGAATTTTTTGAAGAAAAAAAACATATCTTATAAATGTGCATTTTTAAGATGCCGTGTTAGTACTTTCTGAATGGACCCACATTTTGCTGTAATCAATAGCGCAGTACCATTAGGGGATGTCTATCAGCTTTGCACATCAATCAAATCATCCGTCCATCCATCTTGTCCCAATTATTCCGTCATGGTTGCAGTGGGGCACCTATCTCGAGTATTCTATGGGCGAAAGGTGGGGTACACCCTGGACAGTCTGTCGCAGGTCAACACAGGGACGCACAACCACACACACACAGACACAAACACATACATGAGGGGGAGGAGGTATGAATTTAGCAATTTAGAGTGATCTCATATGTTGACTTACCGAGGAAGCACCACAGACGATTTCCCAAAAAAGACAGAGGATTCTAGAGTGACTCACATTCTTTTTTTACTTTTGAAAACCAAACAAAGCCTTTAGCCTTGGCATCCCTTGGTTCATCAGTTTCATCTGGGCAACAGAGGCAAGGTGAGATGGCGTTCTGTAGCTCAGGCAGGAGCAGTGGGAAATCAGTCTGAGGGTACCGTCAAAAAGAACACCAGAACTAGGATGAGGCGGCCAGGCGTGCCCCCCTCTGGAGCGAAGGAATCACAGCGGAACGTTGAGGAGGACATTGGACAAGCTTGCTGGACAGGTGGATTGGTTGAGTCTGCTTGGGCTTGCTGGTGCAATGGAGAGCAGAGGAAGGCAGAAGTAGCCTCCTGCGCAAACAGAGCACAGTAGGTGGATCAGAGGATGCTGCTCCCTGGGAGGAGGAAAGCAGTAGATCAGAGAAGCCTGCTGGGTACAGAGAGGGCCAGAGTAGTGGCGGCTGGTTGGTAGGTAGAAGTGAAACTCATTCTAAATTAAAATGGCTTTTTAAAAAGCCACCCACAAACCTATTCATAGCATTCTCTACTCCATCTTTGTCAACATTGTTTTCTCTGTCCTCCATTTTCATAAAAAATTTTTTTTATCTCCTTTTTTATGATTGGATGTATCTTACATATGTGTATACAGAAATACGCATACGTTCACGTACCCGAATGTCAACTATGCAGTGAGGGGTGTCCTAGTTACAAGGGAAGATTACAAAGTTCTAACTGTTATGGCTTCAATTCGAAGGTGTTGTAGTAGTGAGTTGGGGCTAGTGGTTTTAATGAGGGAAAACATTGGGATTAGGCCTAATGTGCATTAGCTTTGAACCTAAGAACAGCAATTCAACACCCCATTACAGCAGTTTAAAAAAAAGGTTTATTCTTGAATTGTTGCAAATTTATTAAAAATATAAAAGGAAAAATTCTTATGATAAACTATTGTTTTAATAAACATTATTATAATTAGTAGCTCAATCCTGATGGAATAAGCTGGAGAAGATGGATGGATGGATATTACAATAATAATTTATTTTACATTATATACCCTGTAGAAGATTTGTTGTACAAACATTGACCTTTTGTTCTTTGTGTTCAGGCAATGTTTTTGCATCAACTGCAGGTTTCTTATCTACAAAACCAGGTGGGTTTATGTAAGGCATATTGGCTGTTCCTTCACATTGTGTCTCAACTTTACAGTGTCTGTGGAAACCTTCTGAGAAAAAAAACTACCTTTAACCTACCTTTAGTAATGTCATCTCTATTCTCCAAATCAGTTTTTGTCTTGTTTTTCTAATTTTTCCTTATTGTTTTGGTTTGCTTTGTTTTGTGATGATAACTAGTTACCACATTTTTACGCAGATTATACGATCTATGTCCATGTTATTATACACAGTAGTCAAGTCCACCGTAACCTGGTTTATCCAATTGTTATGATGTCCTAGGCTAAACCATGCATTCTTGCTGAAATATAAGAAAGCAGGTTTTCTAAGTATAAATTCAATGTGTATTTATGTTTCAGGGGATCATTCTACCTCAGATGTACACAGCTGCAGTGGCTAACATTTTCAACTTGGGGATCAATTTTCTCCTTATTAATGTGCTCAAGCTGGGTGTAATGTAAGTCTGCCAGGCATTTCCGGTCTTAAAAATTTTTATGAGCTGTATTGGTTGATATGTTATCAGGTATAAAAATGCAGAAAATATAAAATTCATAATAATTCATGTCATCAAAAACAGAGACTTGGGAAGAAAAGAAAATCACAGGCTTATGAGTCAGAAAGAAGAAAAACGCAAATTAGACCCCCACTTTTCAGCATTTTGTTTCGTAATTTTTCTTTGAAGAGTAATTTTTTTTTTTTTTTTTTTGTTCAGACTGAGTCAGCAGTTCACGAAGGTTTATTATTTTTTAACTTTATTTGGAGAGAAGAGGTCAGAATCGGGCAAAGTAAGAAAAGAACAAAATGTTACAGCTCATTCCAGATTCCAGCTGGACAAATATATGATTCAGCAGCAACTTAACCAATCAGGCCTTCCTGTTCAGTCCATGTCTGTCCCCTCCTCTTCTGCTCCATATTAGGCAGGGACACCTGCTAACTCTCTGGGCCTATAGAAAGATTTTTACTGGTCCATTATTGGCAAAAACACGGTGTATGTTTCCCTCTGTACGGTTATGTAGAGATATACTTGTAAAATTACAGTTTTTAATTGTGTCTTGTAAATCCTATCAAGGAAAAAAAACTGTTCTATTGTGTGTTTATGCTTACAGAGGATCAGCAGTTGCTAACAGCCTTTCTCAGATGATTATTTGCCTTCTCTTGTTTGGCTACATCTGGTGGAAGAAGCTCCATCAACAGACATGGGGAGGTGAGATCAACATCTTTATTTAAATACATATGTCACAGAATTTCTTTTTTAACTGCAGCAAAATGATTTAAAAAGTAAAAAATATGGATTTGTAACACGCCGAAGGATACACTGTGTTTATGTCTGTTAACCCTGATAACTGCAACTTAAAAATAGTAAAAAACAACTTTTATAACAGAAATATTCTATATTAAACCATGTCTATTTACTCTAAAGCAAATTCATTTGGTAGTAAATAGAGCTTCCTTTCCAAAAATGACAGCATCGTCGCCCAATGGTAGATAAATGGGGATGGAAAAAAAAAAGCTTTTGATGTCTCACCTGGAGAAAATTCAGTAGTGTCAGTGGAAAAGAATATAGATAATGAGATCATACAGGTACACAAAAAAAGCTATAAAAATAAAAAAGTTAGTTAAAATGGTATGGAGGTAATGGGCCTGCAGCTCTGCTGGGTTATTAATATAGGACTTCCGCTTGTCTTCAATGACAGCTTCAGCTTGACTTTCTTTAGACAATACCCCATAGATTATTTTTAATATTCAGATCAGGCCCAATTGTTGTCAATACAGCACAGCAATACTTATATCATTTAAGCAGTATAAGTCAGCATCTCCATGAAGCTTGTCAGTGGAGGGATGAATGAAATACTTTCCCGGTAGATGCTTCAGCTGTGAACTCCAGAAAACACTGGACTAATGAAAGTATTACCATCCCAACCAAATCCCAATTATCAAACCTTGATACTACACCCCAAGAAACTTCTGATCTGCTTCTTTGTAGTTTCTTTCCACACTTTGATACCTTAGAAAAAAATATATAGTTAACATCATATCTGTGTGCTCCAGTTGAGAACTTGAGTGTTTTTTCCTCCAAGTTATAATAACTCACTTTGTAAGAATTTTACTGTCTGTTGGTCAATTTTGAAGTTCAGTTTTTCACATTATTCTGTGAAGTGTAATTATAACTGTATGTTTCTTAAAAATTCTTATTTAATACACTTTTTACTGAAGTTTAATTTTGGTGGTTCCTGATAGACTAAAACGTGTTTCAGATGCTCATTTGGGTTAGTTGAATCATGCACATAAGCACCTTAGTGCGAAGATTCTGACTAAAACCCTTTGCAGGCTGGTCCACTGAATGCCTGCAGGGCTGGGGCGCCTACATGAAGCTGGCTATTCCAAGTGCTTTTATGATCTGCTTTGAGTGGTGGGTCTGGGAGGTCGGAGGTTTTCTTGCAGGTATGTATTGCTGTTTTTTTCCTATTTTATAATTGTATGATGTATTGTAAGATTTTATAATTTTAAGATGTATGATGTAACATTACTGTTACATCATACATGTGATAGAATATTTGTTAAATGTTTTGGCAAACTTGGTGTAGAAAACTTTTAGTTTGAGAAACTTTTTTTCTGATATGTTTTCAGACATGTCAAAGAGAATTTATAAATGTACACAAACTTGAACACATTAATTGTGTTTAAAAATGTTCTTCCACATATTCCACACAGTCTAAAAATCTTCTTCCACACATTAAAAATATTATTTTAGGGGAAGCTAAATCTTATTCTGTTTGGGAGCTGCTTCTTATAGGAAGTTATTATGCTGTGGACATATGATCCATCCATCCATCCATCCATCCATCCATCCATCCATCCATCCATCCATCCATCCATCCATCCATCCATCCATCCATCCATCCATCCATCCATCCATCCATCCATCCATCCATCCTTTCATCCATCCATCCATGTCTTTGAACTGTGGGAGAAAGCTGGAGTACCCAGAGAGAACCCACAAATGCACAAGGAGAATATGCAAACTTCATGCATGAACCTGGAACCTTCTTGCTGCCACCCACTGATCCACTCTGCAGCCCCCACATATCCATTTATTATTGTTTCTTTCAACACATAGTAATTAGTATATTAATGCTTAATTCTGAATAATGCACATATGTTGGTGTTGAAGTCTTTTAGTTGAAGAATATGAGATTTCACTGATGTTCAAATGATGGCCAGAATTATATCATGTGTTGGCTAATCTATTAAATTCAATTCAATTCAGTTTATTTATATAGCGCCAAATTCACAACACATGTCATCTGAGGACCTAATTGCAAAATTAGATTGCATTATAATTTATCACCACGCCCTTCCTCTTTCCTCCCTCGTAGGGATGTATCCCAAGGTTGTTGCCAGTGGACAGATTTCAGAATGTGTCATTTAATAGATTTAGTCCCCCTGTGTGTTGTAAATGGTCCCAAATTAAGTAGACGAGGGAGAACCCAATACAGAAACAAATTAAGAAGCTAACTAGAACTGAACTAGTATGGCAACATTAAGAGATGATAATGAACACAGAAATGATTTATAGAATACAACACAAAGGCAGAAAAATGATAAAGATATAAACACAACTGAAATGTTAAACTACCAAGAATTCAAACAAGCAATACAAAGTATTGCTTGTATTGTACACTTTTTGTACTGTTCTTGCAATAACTGCTGTTTTGCTTCTGTTAAAACTTTTTAACCGTAAACCCCAAACTTTTTTTTTTTTTAGGTTGGCTTGGAGAAGCTGATCTGGCAGCCCAGCATGTGATGGTAGAAATAGGAGCCCTTACATACATGGTATGGATTATTTCAAAGAAGTCAAAATGTTTAATTATATTCATTGACTTATCTATTCTTTTTAATTTGCATTTTTTTTTTTTTACTTAAGTAATTGCTTGAGCAAACATGACCTGGCCTCAATAAGGTATATATTTTTTTCAGTTTCCTTTAGGCGTCCATGTTGCAGCCTGCGTACGTGTTGGAAATGCTCTGGGGGCTGGCAACACATCCAGAGCAATAGTCACTTGCAAAGTAGCTCTAGTTCTGTCAGGTATGAAAATTCATGCTCTATGTTTGGTTTATTACACTTTATGAATCGTTCTGAAAAATTAGTTTGGGTTGTCCTGTTGAAAGCTGAAACGTACCATTGTAAAATTGATCTTAGGGCAAGGCAAGTTCATTTATATAACACAATTCAGTACAAAGACAATTAAAAGTGCTTTATGTGGATTCAAGTATAAAATAGAAGAAACATAAAAGGAGAATAAAAGCAACTAAAGATAAAAGCATGATAAAACTGGGTAGTAAAGCAAATAAAACAGTTCGACCTCAAATTTAAGATATCTCACTTAAAGCTGCAGTCTGTAACATTGAGGAGAGAGCAGACTTCGACTGAAAATTTGAAGAAAAACAGGTTTCACGCCACTCCCCCACCCTCTCTGCTTCACTCATGCCCCACCTGAGTGAAGCAGAGGGGCGTGATTCAGCGTGTGTGAGCTGTGATTGACACTCCATCAGACGCTCCTCTGGCTGTGATTGGTTGTTTTGACTCGTCCCGAATTATTATTTCCAGAGTGAAATACAGGCAGTAGGCGGTACCAATTGAAGCAGTTTTTTTCACAGGTTACATATCACATGTGCTGCTGTCTGGGCATAGGGACAGTTTTAGCCAATATGACAAAAAAGTGATTTTTAAAAACTTACAGACTTCAGCTTTAACAGTTTACCGTCAACAGTCAAAGGCAGTTCTAAACAAATGTGATTTTAACTTTGACTTAAAAGAGCTAAGGCTTTCAGCACTTTTACAGTCTTCTGGGACTTAGATCCAGATAAGTGGAGCATAGGAAATAAATGCTGCTTCTCCATGTTTGGTTCTAGTTGTGGGTGTACAGAGTAGTCTGGAACTAGAAAACCTAAGTGGTCTAAAAGGTTTATCTCTATACAGTGTCAGCAAATCTGTTATCTATTGAGGTGCTGAGTCATTCAGTGATTTCTAGAGTAACAGAAGGATTTTATAGTCTATTCTCTGAGCTACAGGGAACCAGTGTAAGGACTTCAGAACCGGACTGATGTGTTTCTTTCTACTTTCTTAGTTCTAGTGAGAACCCAGGCAGCAGCGTTTTGTATGAGCTGCAATAGTCTGACTGACTTTCTAGTCAAACCTGTGAAGACACTGTTGCACTGTTGTAATCAATTCTACTAAAGATAAATGCCTTAATGGGATTTTTAGACCTTACATGGACATTAGTCCTGTAATCCTGGAGATGATAAGACTGACTTAACAACTGCCTTTATGTGCCTCTGAAGTGTCAGGTCAGAATCCATCTTGACACAAAAATTTCGGCCGTAATCATTGGTTTCTGGCTGTAGTAGTAGAAACTGTGTGCTAACTTTTGATCTCCTTCTTTGGTCTGAAGATTATCTCAGTTTACCGGTAGTTCTGATTCATGCGGAGAAAAATAATGGCCCAACAATTTAAAGGGTTAATAGTCACCTCGTGATATTGTGATATAAAGCTGTGTATCGTCTGCATAGTTATGGTAACTGATCTTATTGTTTGCTATAATCTGAGCTAAGGGGAACATGAATATATTTAATGGGAGGGTACCCAGAATGGAGCCTTGAGGAACCCGGCATGGGATTTTTCTGGTCTCTTATTTTAAGTTCCTTTCTGACACATAGAAGTCAGCAGTGTCAATGCTGTGATCAACAGTGTGAAATGCTGCACTAAGGTCCATTGATACCAGCACTGTGGTTCTTCCAGTGAGAATTTATATGCATGTCATTGAAAACTTTAATCTGGGCAGTCTCTGTACTGTGGTTGAATTGGAAACCTGACTGGTAGACAGCAAGACAGCTGGTCATTTTTAACAAATGATTTAAACAAAAAAAAAGGTTTTGTAATGAAAAATTTCCCCTTGCATTTGTCTATATTATTAATGCCTTTTAGAACAACCGGCATTGTGTTCCACTTAGTACTGGCTGCAGTAACTTAGATCTATGAATAATTATTAGTGTTGCGCCGATGCCATTTTTTGGCCCCAATACAGATACCCGATACCTGGCTGTGCAGTATCGGCCGATACTGATACCATAATAATGTAAAATAATTGCGATCATGGCTTTGTCAAGCTGCTGCCTACCTTTGTGAAGCAGGAGAAAATCTAATACAAAGCGAATCCAGTAGAACTTTTTATTGCCTACCAGGAGTGGGTGACAATAGTTGAATAAACTTATGGCTCTCAAAATGGTATTGGTGCCCTATTTGTTGGTACTTGCCGATACCGATACCACCATTTTAGGGCAGTATCGGGGCCCCGTCCGATACTGGTATCGGTGCAACACTAATAATTATACATTGTTTTTCGCCTCAAAGGGTTGGGGTTAGGGTTAAAAAAGGAAGTTAATTAATTGCTGATTATTTTAAACACATACCTGTTGACTATCCTGTTAAGAGGCAGAAGCAAAGAACCCAGAAGTGGTTAACACATATTACTGAACAGGAATGATGTGGTTCCAGAGAGTCAGTCTCTTCAATTCTGAACCCAGTTCAGCTCATAAATCTTAGAGCAACGCTCTCGATTGTAGGATGGGGCCACCCACCTACTGATATTTCTTTTGTCAGCCAGTCTCTGCCACTGATAAACCTGGGGTACACTGTGCGATTTTTTTTCAATCATTGCACGCAGCTACTGCTCACATTGTACGACTAAACCCTGCGGTTTAGTCGTACAATGTGAGTTTACAGCTCACGATTTTGTTCGGCCCAACTCTCTAATGCGATCCAACTGCTCACACTGTATGACTAAAAAGCACGTCGGACTGAGCTGCGCAGTGAGATGGAGCTGCTCTGTAGCTTTCTATCCTGAAGCCAAACAAATAGAAGGGGGATCTTAAGTTCAGTTTAGTGAACCGCACAGCCTTGGCAATTTGTGCAATTTTGTAATGAAAGCCCTGAAAAGAAAAGGCAACGACATATTTGGAAAAAAGACATGGCTGAGCAAACGTGGCTACTACGGTCCGTCAATTTTTTAGACAGAACTGTATTTCACATTGCATCCCTGCTATGCTGCTGCGTTTACAGCTGAGAGAAAGAAGAAAAAGAAGAATCCTTGTTTGCGCACTAAGTGATTTGCCTACAACGGTCGGGAGAAATATATATTGTCCCGACCTCACGATTCCTGATCCGGAGGTGGTCGTGAGAGGCTGATGGCAGCTCGTAACCCCCTGTACACTAAATGACTCACGACGCATGATCAGGCTGAAAGTCAGCCCGATCTGAAAATTCTTGCACGACTGGAAAATCGCCCCGAAAATCGCAGTGTACGCTGGGCTTAAGGAAGGCAGGTCTTTCCACCAAATGTAGTGTACAAGAACATACTTTGTTTTTGTTTTGTCACAACAAATCCCAATAGCATACATGAAGTTTTTTGTTGAAAACTGACTTAATATAGAAAACACAAAGGTTAAATTGTTTTGCAGAATGCTGTCTAAAATAAAGATTAAACTGCTCTAAATCACTCTTTTTGTTATCTGAACAACAGTTGGACAACTAAAATAGTTTTGATAATTTTGTCTGAATTATAATACTGTTCTTGATCCATATAATTTAAGTATTTTGTCTTTTCTTTTTGCTAAAGGAGGGCTTGCTGTATTCCAGGGGTTCATCCTTGCTGGCTGTAAGTCCTTCGTTGGCAAAATATTTACCTCAGATGCGTGAGTCTTCACAACAAAACATATTAATTCCCTTGAAGCTGAAATTGCATCTCTGTTTTGATGATCTCACATGTTTCCTGCAGCCAAATTATCCAGCTTGTGTCAAACAACTTGACAGTTTACGTATTTCTTCAATTCCTTGATGCAGTTCTGGTATGTTTTTATTTTTTTGTCTTTTTATCTGAAAGTTTTTTCTTTTTTTTTATCAACACTCTTTTTATGTTGTTTTGGCATCCCCTAGTGTGTCTGCACAGGAATTCTTGTTGGATGTGGGAGACAGAAAATCGCTGCCGTATCAAACCTGGTGTTTTACTATTTCATCGGCCTACCAGTAGGAGTGGCACTAATGTTTTGGGCACAGCTGAGAGTATTAGGTAATTTATTTATGATATATATTTATATTTTCATGACAAACTTGATATGCATATCATCACATTCTGGTGTAAAATACTAAACAAAGGTTTTCACTAGTGTTACAACCCAGCCCAGCAAAGGGGAAAGAAGGAACATTTAAAAACTAGATGTGATGTGCTTTATAATTTCAATGTTTTATTGAAAAAAATGGGGAAAAGGTAAGCAATATGAAATACAATCAAAACAAAACCACAAAGTGTAACAAAGATAATCTAGCGTTCTTATATCTACAATGACCAAAGGCCACAAAACTGAATCCGTGTGCTGAGTCAGCACTTTGATAAATATAAGGAGGAACGCACAAAAAAAAAAAAAAAAACACTAGCCACTTCGGGACAGAAGTAAGTTACACAACCATCATCAAACTGTTTGCAAAGTGTCACAGCTATACAAAAGTTGTTCCAACCTTTAACCAATACACAACCCAGAAAGAGGCAAGACAGCTGCCCAGTCCATATAAGTGTGCTGGTTTAAATATAAACAGCTCTCCTTGGATTGGTGGGACAATCAGGCCAGTATCCAATCCAGATGAGGAGAGGCTTGCAACAGGAATTGACAGAAGAAACGCTAGGAAACAGGAAATGACAGGAGGGCTGCAAGTTCTTAAAGTGATGCCAGCTGACAGAGAGCTGCAACTGCATCTGCAAACATAACCTGGGAAAAGAAAAAAAACAACAAAAAACGTACACACAAAAAAACAATAAAAACAAAGGCCACTGGCTGTAACACAAGCTTTTTCAGTTATATGTAGGATTTGTTCCTAACGATTGTTATTTGAATATGCTACTTTTTTCATATTCCATATCCTTACATATATATTTCATATACAGTAAAGAGCATAAAAATTAAGGGCAGAGCTTGTACCTGATCATCCTTTGTTGGTGTTGTAGATTTGGTGCCTGGGAGCACACTAGATAACCCAGTAAATCAAAGTAGCCTGAGTAAACCGGGCAGCAAGGTTTGGATCTTTTTAGGAACTTCATTAGTCAATTAAGTAATGATTCAGAAGACTACAATAAAACAAAATAGGATACTCTTTACTATTCAATCTACCACAACATAAACACCCAACCTACCTAAATAGGGATAATACCTTAACAACACTGACAACAAACCTAAAGAATACATAAAAAGATCTATTTTCCTTTTGGGGGAAGCCATTTAAAAAAGGTTCAATGTTTGTTTTACTACAATATGTGTTTTATCATGTTTTACAAAACTCATCCAGGTGCCACACTTAGGCTCTTCTAGGTTCCCAGTTCTGCTAGGTAATGTAAGTCATAATGATCTGCTAGCCTTTAACAACATAACCAGTTCTAAAACATTGTTCCTAACTGGAAAAAGCTTGAATCCTCTTGCTACAGACATCTTGTGGAAGATGGATGGACCAGTTTGGGCTTTTTCTGCAATGATGAGGCTGTCACCTTTGTGTGTTATGGTAAAAGAAACAGCTGAGCTGAAAGGTAGAACTGTTAAATTGCTGGGCCATTTACTTGACAATATTCAGCTATGGTCATTAAATATAGATTCTGATAAAAATAATAAAGCTATTCCCCCACATTATTTAAATTAGGCAAACCTTTTTATATTTTTTTCCTTTAGATAGGAAAAATAAAGCAAATGGTCTGATGCTTAAAAGGTCAGGTCAGTATAATCAGTGGTTTCTATATGGCAATAATACCTGACGGAAACAATAATTGGGATTTTGAGCATCAGCCTGCAGCTATTATACTAAACAATATAATGTAAATAAATATTTTTTATCACTATGTTGTCTTTATATGTTTCAAAGTAAACAATGAGGGAAGTATTTCTTTCCCTTGCCTTATTATGATCATTACTTTAAAATGTTAAATGTTTGTAGTTAAGCTGAAAGAGATATGCAAACCACACAATACTACATTCATCTCTGTGTTCCCATCCTGTCACAAGGGAGCTCTAAAGAGCATTACTCCTCTGACGTTGTAAAAGAAGACAATTGTAGCATCTGCACGTATTTCCTTTAATGACAAATTAGGTAATTCTGACAAACCTTGGGATATAGTTTTGGACATAAATTTCACACCTTTTACTTTGAAAAAAAGTTGTGTTCTTTGAAGAAACTCAGACAACAGATTTGGCTCTCCTAATCCTCCACATGAATAACATATGCTTTTGTACCCTTTTGACCAGTAAGGTGGGTTTACAGTCCAGGTGAGGTTGTCTGTGATGTGTACTCCAGGAATTTAGTGCTGCTGACCACCTCTACAGCTTAGTTGTTGATGAACAGTGGAGCGTGGTTTGGCCGGTTCTTCCTGAAGTCGACGATGATCTCCTTCGTCTTCTCCATGTTCAGTATCAGGCTGTTATCTCTGCACCAGCCCACCAGCTGCTCCACCTCCTGTCCTGGTCACTGTCATCTCTGATGAGGCCAACCACCCTGGTGTCATCTGCAAACTTCATCGATGTGATTGGTGGTGAACCTGGGGACGCAGTCGTGTGTCATCAGTGTGAACAGCAGGGGCCTCAGGACTCAGCCCTGATGGAAGCCTGTGCTTAGGGTTATGACATCAGAGGTGTTCTGTTCTTGCAGCCAATTGCAGAGAGGTGTACTGAAGCCCAGCTGTTCCAGTTTTCCTATCAGATGCTCGGGGATGATGATGTTGAAAGCTGAACTAAAGTCCAGGAACAGCATCTGCATGTGGGTGTTCTTCTCCTCCAGGTTTGCTAGGCTCAGGTGAAGAGCAGAGGAGATGGCATCCTTAGTGGAGCGATTCCGTTGGTATGCAAACTGCAACGGGTCGAATGTTTGGGGGAGACTGGAGATGATGCGTTCTTTAACCAACCTTTTGAAGCACTTTATCATGATAGGAGTCAGCATACAGGAGGCTGGTAATCATTGAGTGAGATCACCCGAGGATTCTTTGGGACTGGAATGATGGTGGCAGACTTAAAGCATGCTGGCACTATGGATTGGACTAGGGAGGTGTTAAAAATGTATTTGAGGGCATGCAGGTGATGCAGTGGTTCGGGCACACGACCCATGTACGGAGGCCATAGTCCTCGACGTAGGTGACCCGGGTTCGAATCAGACCTGTGGTCCTTTGCCACTTGTCTCTCCCCCTCTCTCATACCCCTTTCCTCTCAGCACTAAAGGAGTGATTAGTGCCGTAAAAAAAAAAAAATGTCTGCAAGGACACCAGCCAGCTGACCTGCACAGTCCTTGTACACCCGCCCAGGTGTGTTCTCAGGGCCTGGAGCCTTTGGTGGGTTGACTATCCTCAGAGTCTTCCACACTTCAGCTGTGCTTTTTAGTGCCTCAAACCTTCCAAAGAAGTTGTTTAGTTAATTTAGGAAGACAGCATCAGCTGCACCCACCGTCTGGGAGCATGTGTTGTAGTCTGTGATTGCCTGTATGCCTTGCCACATCGCCGTGTTGTTACTGGCATCATGAAAGAGATCCTGTATCTTCTAGGTTGGATTACCTCCACGTCTGATTGCTGCCCAGTCTTCTTTGCATGGTTCCTCATGGTTCCCACTACAGGTGGTGAGCCCACTGGGGGATGGTCTCGCATCACTCCTTTGGGCTGGTCCTGGCCAGGTCCAACTAAGAAACACCCAACCCTAGTTCCGCGTGACATCAAGTAACTCAGTTTATTTAGTTATCATGGGGGCTTTGTGAGCCGCGCTTTGTCTGACTTACCAACATAGCCTCTGAGATCATCCAGGAATTAAAACCCCTCCATGACGTTAAGATGGTGGTTTAAGGAGGGGATAATTTTGCATTATAGGAAAATGATTAAATTCATTGTCAGTCCCTAAACAAACCACCACCGCCAGGGTATAGCAGCTAACATCAGGTCTCCTAAATGATGCAACCTTCCTAGCTAAGCCAAGAGCAAAACTCAGATGCATACCCTTTTTAATTTAAGGAGGGCACAAAACAGACGGCTTTAGACATAAAATCAGGGTTTCAACAAATGTGCAGTAAATTTTCATAATAATGCCTCGGGCATGTAGACAGCATTACACCATATCTATTTATACAGTTTATTAGCAAATAAAGGTGATTTAGGGCCTAGTAGTCATTTAAGTAGCACATTGGTTGTATTCTATAAGATTATGCAGTTTTTGTATGTTGGGTAATAACCTAACAAAAACATGATAGTTACCACTTTTATGAGCTAATCAATGTCCTTTATTTCAGGTTTGTGGCTGGGTCTCCTAATTTGTGTCTTTATTCAGACGGGTTTTTTCCTCGTTATAATATTTAAAACTGACTGGAAAAAGGTCACAGACAAGGTGAGATACACTCTTCATGTAAAAAACACACAGAAACAAATGAATTAAAAAATAAACTAATTATAAAAATAAATATATATTTTGAAGACAAACCAGAGTTTTATATTTTGGTCTAATACTTCTGTCAAGAAACAGTGCTTGCAAGGTTTCTTGCTTAGGACCTCAGGATTGATGAAAAAACAAAACAAAAGACCAAACAATTATTTACCTAAACGATACACACCTGCTTTTTAAGGGCTGAATGGACCACTTGCCCTTCCTGCAACATGGTTTGGGATGGTGGGAATAGTGCATAGTGGTAGTATTTAAGGCCGGTGTGGGATTGGGCCTGGTTGCCCTTAGATGTGGGTGCTAAGTTGTATATATCTTTGCTCTGTGATGGACTGGTGACCTTCCCAGGGTATAACCTGCCTTTCACCCATAGAATGCTGGAGATAGGCACCTTTTACCAGTTCTCCTTCAAACAGCAGATACAAAAAAGGACTGTAGCTAGTCAGTTATCAAAAATTTGATGCATTTTCTTTGGCAGGTACAAATTGACATTTTTCTTTTTCATATAAAAAGAAAAATGTACTTAATGAACAAAAGTGAAAATTCCTGAAATGGCAAAGGGCCACATAATTTCTCCCACATAATTGTTACATTTATTCTTAGTCTGTATAAAAAGAAGGAAAATTAACTGTACACACATTCACAATTTCAGCTTGAATTGTGTCACATTTAAGCAAGATTCTTTTTAAATAAATACATTTTCTGTGTTCTGTCTCTAAATGTCAAATTTACAAGAATTTTGGTAGTCGTGTTAAGCTAATGGTCTCACTGACATTCTTTAGGCTCAAAAACGAGCTGGGAAAACTGTGGTAGTCCCCCCCGTGCGTCCAGTCAGTACAGTTCTGAATGAAGCAATCTTACCAGATGTCATTGACTGCCCAGATTCGGTATGTACAGAGCGTCCTGTGACACCTTTTTATTTACCCTGTTTATGAATGTATTATAGAAGCCTTTCCTTGCCTTATATAAATTTATTTTTCTTTATAACCCCAAAGGCCCAGGAAAAGAATGAAACAGCCTTTGGAACAGAGGGCTACAGTCGTGTTAATACCCATGATCAGGAGCTGAAGGGGGGGTATGAGTCAGAAGAAAACTCCAGAGGTGCCGCTGTACCTGAGAGAGACGCTGAAAAGAGCAAGGAATGTTCTGTCACTAAATCCCCAGACAGGCTGTCCACCTCTCAGCTGATCATGCGTCGGGGACTCACATTGCTATCTACAGTTCTCATTTTGATCACAGGAGTTGCATTTCACATTGCTTTTCCTGTACCAGAACCCCATGCCTCTAATATGGCCAACTTCACCTTAAACTGGGCTAATTACTCCACTCCTACACCACTGAATGCACTAAACCCAACCACAAGCTTGTAAGCAACTTGAAATGGAGACATCTGCTGACTGCATGTGGTTGTTGCTCTGGCACTCTATTCAGCAAATGTCTTGTTGTAAAGATCACTTCTAACCCTTTCAATATGAGGAGCCAGGCTGGGCTCACAAGTTTTGGTGCAAATTTAAACCAGCACACTATGAATAGAGTGCCAAAAATACTGCAATGTGATAAATAAATCTTTAAGTAATGATTTATACCTGTAATAGTTTAAATTAAAACAAAAATAAATCAAAAACTCCAAACTAATAGTTTTATAGGGTAAAACTATTTATTAAAGTTACAATATTTCTAGCTTTTGTATGTGTATGAACTGAAGTACACCACATAAACCCACTTAATCCCACATACCTTCTAATCATTTTATTTACACTTCACATTATTTCCATCAAATGATGGGAAGTGATGACAAATTACTCCAGAACATAACTATGGTGTTACTAAATAATGACTGAAATAACTGCACATTTGTAATTTAAGCTGATATTGTATTTACTGAAACAAAAAATAAGTATTAATTCTACAATTGATTTATTTTCCTAAATTTTGGCACATTTGGACCTTCATGCCTGCTAGCATTTACGTATTTTTTATTTAATTTATTTTCCCTTTGCCCTGTTGGTATTTGTTTAATCCTTAAATTAGTTTTTCATTTTTTTTATCAAACAACATCTTTAGTGTAAACATTTATATTGTACACATGGGAAATCAAGTGCACATGGAAAATGTACACGGACAGGTTTAAATACATAGATTACCCACTGACACCTGGATTTATTTACAAGTATATATAAAAATGTGTTTTTGCCTTTAAGAAGATGAAAAATTATATTGAGATTGGTATTTTTACTATTACACAAAAAATATGCAGTAAATTTACAACAACAGACAAAATATTCAAAATTAACATAAAAATCACATAGTAATAAAACTGTAATAAACAGGTCTTCTCAATAAAAAGCAAATAACATCTGTTACATTGTAGCAACAGATTTTTTTATTTTTTATTTTTTACATATTTTTACATTATTGTAAATTGTATGTATGTCAATAATGTCATAATAACTCAATAATTAAACTGTAATTAACCAATTTTAATTGCAAAAAATAAACATCTGTTACATTTCAATCTATTTTTAGTGCAAATTTGTAAAAACAGTTTTAGTAGAAGATTCATGTAGATTAATAAAAGAAAAGTATAATGCTCAACAATGAAAACTAACTCAGTAATTGAAATGGAGATTTATTTTCCAGCATGTTATTTTTATAAAGATAATTGAAAGTAAGAAGGCAAAATAAATAGGAGCGCCGGAAGAAAAGCAGTCCAGAAAGCTGTTATTTATATAGCACTGTTAGGGACTTGGAACTTGCACAATAATGTAATGTATCAATTACGCTACAAACCAAAATATTGTGACAATCTCACAAAAACCGGCCACAATCTTAGAATGTAGTTAGTGAAAGAACTCGATAAGAAAAGGAATATTTTTTATCTTGGCACCAACTACTTTATAATAAAAAATTAGCTTATTTCCTGACTGGTTTCATCTGTTTTTGACTCCAGATTTTGCTCATGCATCGGCACAAAATATGCATTTTAGGAAGCAGTCCTGGTAGAAAAGATTGTTTTTTTAAAGGTTCCTAGGACCACAGCTAAGATGCATGGGGGAAATGAATGCTTTGTTTGATAAATATTTGCTACAATACGTGTCAAGTGGTAAAAACAGTGGTAAGTAATAAAACAGTTTAGTTTTTTTTTGTCATCATAGATTTCTCTTTGGGTTTTCTTTTGGAACAATTGACGTTTAAAGATATTTAATAAGATTTTGTGTATAGTTAATATACAGTGGGTACGGAAAGTATTCAGACCCCTTTAAATTTTTCACTCTTTGTTTCATTGCAGCCATTTGCTAAAATCATTTTATTTCTCATTAAAGTTCAAACGGAAAAAAAAACTTAGTTTCTAATTTGATAGTATGTACAAAATTAAATACATCAAAAATGAAAAAAACTTCCAGCATTTTCTTGTTTGTAGTATTAAATAATTCACTAAGATAGCAGACAATGCTAAATTTCTCATTCGGTCACGTGACCCACTGATGGATGCCGTGACGTCAGTTTAGTCAGGAAGAACTAATTTTATATAGCTAGTCAATATTTATTCCCCTTTGTGATGGAGTTTGTATCCTTTAACGAGCACAGAAATGATCAGAGTCTTAGTGGTTCTAATAATGCTCACTGGTTTAATCATAAATGTTCTTTGATCTTATGCAGAGCTGGTGGAAGTTCATTATCTTTCAGAACATTTTCCAGATGGTTCTGTGTTAAACCAGATTCTAACCTTTTGTTTGAAGAGGAGATAAGGTTGGTTTCGGTTAGCAGCATGCTGCTGCAGCCGGGTTTGAAGGCAGGCGGTTAGTGTTGGAGCCCTGTGCGGCATAGCAGGCTGTTCTCTGCTGTGCCTGGATGGAGAAAGAGGTCCGTCATTAATCCGATCGCTGTCCGGGTAGGAAACATTGACCTTCGGATGTTGTTTTTACCCGGTTTGGTTCATGGCTCCGGGCGGGTGGGGTTCGAGCTGTGGGTCTCCTCCTGCGGTAACTCACTGTTATCCATCACGGTTCTTGTTGTTCTGGAGCTCAGACCATAATGGTATTGAAATCCATCTGTAGCTGCCGCTATACCAAACTGTGCTACTAGCTAAGGTTTGCTGTTTTATGAAATAAAATAAAATAAAATATTTCATAAAAAATAAACTTTGAATCAGCTTTATTGTATTGATTTATTAAAGCTATACAACAGAGAAAACAAGCCATTGCATCTTTGGTATATTGAATCCAACTGATGCTGTAAGAGCAGGGTCGATGATAAAAGAATCTGCCGTGAAGTGATCCGAACATAGTTTGCTGTATCGGCTTGGACGCCACAGATTGTCCAGTTGCTTTTTTTCCTAATCTATTTACTTTCCGGATCGAAATTTGACTCAAAAAAGTTTTTTTTTGGATCAGTAAACATTCCTTTTCCATTGTAATGATGTTTTAATGTTCCTTTAAGAGTGCTTATCAATGCGTTAGATAGTGTTTCCTTACACCAGCCCAAGGACGTTTGAGTACACTGACGTCACAGCATACTGTAAAATTCTCTCGATTTTATTACTTGGAGCATTTTTAGTGTGATTTGGATCAGCCACATAGAGAAAAGAAAGGATAATCTACCATCACACATGATAAAACTGCTCTAGACGCACTCCTTTCTATTTGACCTTTAATGTACACTCAGTACCCCATCTTGACATACAAAAACCAAAAATGTTATTAAAAAAGAGAATCTGAAATATCAAATGGTCATAAGTATTCAGAGCCTTTGCTGTGACACTCATATTGAATTCACATGCTGTCTATTTCTTCTGATCCTCCTTGTGATGGTGCTGCTCCTTTATTGGAATCCAGTTGTGTTTAATTAAACTGATTGGACTTGATTAGGGGTCATCAAGTGGTTTTCCTTAGATAGAAAACTTTGAATCAATTTGACTGTATGAGCTGGTTAAACTATAAAGTGCCTTGGGATGACTTGTGTTGTGTATTGGCGCTATATAAATAAACTGAATTGAATTGAAATTAGGAAACGCACACCTGTCTACATAAGACCTTACAGCTCACAGTGCATGTCAGAGCAAACAAGAATCATGAGGTCGAAATAACTGCCCAAGGAGCTCAGAGACAGAATTGTGGCAAGTCACATATCTTGCCAAGGTTACAAAAGAAATGCTGCAGCACTCAAGGTTCGTAAGAGCTAGTGATGGTGAGATGAAGCCTCATGAGGTATTGAACCGTTTGGCCAAATTGCTTCAATGATCCCCACAGTTCCTGAGGCCTCATGTGAACATGTCACCACCTACAGGTGGAGTGCAGGATTACAGTAAGTAATAAAATCTGAGATTTTTTTGCAATTATTTTTCTTGTTTTTTTTTTTTTCCCATTTAAGTTCCTTTGAAATAGTTAATGATTTTGTAAGTTTTTTTGTGTAAAATGTCTTAGAAGAGAACAATTATTTAATGTAAACAGTTTTTCTACAATTTTGATGAAATAAGCTCAAGCAGACAGTAAATGCGCTTGTGCAAATTGGGCAATGACGACCAAAATGAAAGGGGTTAGTCATTTCTTTTCAAACGCAATAGTTTTTCCACTGTTTTTGGTTTTAATCAGGTTGGAAGTTATACACTATATTGCCAAAAGTATTTGCTCACCTGCCTTGACTCACATATGAGCTTAAGTGACATCCCGTTCCTAATCCATAGGGTTCAATATGACGTCGGTCCACCCTTTGCAGCTAGAACAGCTTCAACTCTTCTGGGAAGGCTGTCCACAAGGTTTAGGAGTGTGTTTATGGGAATTTTTGACCATTCTTCCAGAAGCGCATTTGTGAGGTCGCACTATGATGTTGGACGAGAAGGCCTGGCTCTCAGTCTCCGCTCTAATTCATCCCAAAGGTGTTCTATCGGGTTGAGGTCAGGACTCTGTGCAGGCCAGTCAAGTTCATCCACACCAGACTCTGTCATCCATGTCTTTATGGACCTTGCTTTGTGCACTGGTGCACAGTCATGTTGGAAGAGGAAGGGGCCAGCTCCAAACTGTTCCCACAAAGTTGGGAGCATGGAATTGTCCAAAATGTCTTGGTATGCTGAAGCATTCAGAGTTCCTTTCACTGGAACTAAGGGGCCAAGCCCAGCTCCTGAAAAACAACCCCACACCATAATCCCCCCTCCACCAAACTTTACACTTGGCACAATGCAGTCAGACAAGTACCGTTCTCCTGGCAACCGCCAAACCCAGACCCGTCCATCAGATTGCCAGATGGAGAAGCGCGATTCGTCACTCCAGAGAACGCGTCTCCACTGCTCTAGAGTCCAGTGGCGGCGTGCTTTACACCACCGCATCCGACGCTTTGCATTGCACTTGGTGATGTATGGCTTGGATGCAGCTGCTCGACCATGGAAACCCATTCCATGAAGCTCTCTGCGCACTGTTCTTGAGCTAATCTGAAGGCCACATGAAGTTTGGAGGTCTGTAGTGATTGACTCTGCAGAAAGTTGGCGACCTCTTCGCACTATGCGCGTCAGCATCCGCTGACCCCGCTCCGTCAGTTTACGTGGCCTACCACTTCGTGGCTGAGTTGCTGTCGTTCCCAAACACTTCCATTTTCTTATAATACAGCTGACAGTTGACTG